GCCGGAACGGAGCAGCGGCGTCGGGCAGTTGGTGGGCGCAGCGGATGAATCTGGAGGCGAGGGAGGAGAAAATGAGAAGGCACTGTTCAAAAAACCTCCACCAGTTTCCTTATATTGAGTCACTTCCGAGTGGCCGACAGGTAGGCCCAGGCGATCCTGTCAAATCCCGAAACAGTCGCGCAGGCGATACGTGGCGAAAAAGGCGGCGCGGGAATCGAGGCGTCCCTGCCTTATCCCATCCGAGTACCGCAGTCTTCTCCGCTTCACGCACTTCCCAAAAAATTTCGGATCCCACTAAATCCGCTAACCACAGGGCAACTTGTCAGACGGAAGATCTCCTGCGATCCGTCGCTCGGAAATCTCCAAGTTCATAAAGTTCACTCGACAAATATAAAGAATGGATCAAGGCGACTGAACGAAAGTTGACACCCTCACTTGAAAGTCATTGATCCAAGGCAAAACACCTTTACAGCACCAGAAAGCAGGTCGGAAAGATTGCCAACTCCTTCCTCACTCAAACCTCGATCCATTCGGGGGCTACTGATGAAGTCATGTACCTAGGGTAGGGTCATGAACCTGTCTAAGGTACCCTCCCCAAGGACATCTTTTAGAAGAAGCCGTCTTCCAGTCGACCAAGAGGAACTCCACTCGACGGATTAGAAGACACTCGACGAACCTGAAGACACTCGACCATGAAGACTCACTCGACCACCAGGAGTTCAAGATCTACTCTGTATCCAAACGGTCTATAATTAAGTAGTCTTAATGGTCATGATGACACTTTATGTAGGGCGTTACCAGTAACGCCAGACCTTAATGTACTTTAACCCTCTGCTACGTGGGCTGGCTGGGGTCTTGGCGTCCTCTATATAAGCCACCCCCTCCACTGGTAGAAGGGTTCGCACCCCTGTAACTCTCACACACATAATCCAGTCGACCGCCTTCGGGCTCCGAGACGTAGGGTTGTTACTTCCTCCGAGAAGGGCCTGAACTCGTAAAACACTTGTGTGCACAACTGCTCCATAGCTAGGATCTTGCCTCTCCGTACCTACCCCCTATTCTACTATCAGACTTAGAATCGCGACAGTCGCCGCCATCGTGGATAAATCACTGGCCGAATCCCATGCCGCTAAGCTATGCTGCTTTACTTGCCTGTAAAAGGTACTCATGCTGACGGTCGCTACCTCGCCTTCCTCCCCGTTCTCCTCGAGACCTCGACCCACCTCCTCTTGCTGCGGCACCATCTCTTGAATGACCCTTTGCGGATATTGTCTTGGAGGAGATGCCCTCACGGCATGTGCGCGCTTGGCGGCGCTGGCCACGATCAGCGCGCAGAAGGGATGCCTCCCACGACTGCCAGCTAGATCTCCCGTCAAGCCGTCTACCAAGCTCATGGGACGTTTCTTACAGCGGTGGCGGCAGCCACAACACCAGACTGGGGCACGGGCTCCGTCGCAAGGTGTACCTCGCCATTGGTCGTTGCTGGGCTTCTCCACCTAGCTATGAACAACGCATCGGCGATCACTGAGCCCGGGCTCAGAGGCGGTCAACACGTCCGATGGTGGACAGTTGAAAGAGGTCCGGTGTTGGCCGGTGGACTACGTGTGCCACCATTGGAGGCATGCGACAGCTCCAGATGATGACGATGCATGTACCGGGCTCCGGTGGCTTGTGAAGGAGGGGCGCCAACAATCTGGGTGGGGCACGAGGTCGATCAGGGAGGTGGCTCGCGGCGTCGAGCATGAGGTACGATTGGACGACACAGGACGGGCGGGACGCCCGCATTCTCAACGGGCATGAGCTTGAGGCATCAGCGAGCTGAGCGGTGTCATGACTCTCATGAGCACCATCGACGAGTTGCTCCTCTCTCCAGCTAGCTTCCCTTTACCCGCACTTCGCCCATAGCCACATCTGCCACCACACGGTGGCCACACTCGCCTCCAACGCCTCGCTCCTCCACCGCGATCATAGCCTCACGCTCCGCGCGCCGGCAAGGGACCCAAGGGATTGGGTCGCGATGGCACTCCTGGAAGTGGTGCTACTGCAGGCCATGTTCCTCATGCAGGCCATGGCGTTGGCGGTGGCCTGCACCGTGACCTGATGGTGGGCGAGGGAGGACGCTACCGCGACAAGGAAGCGTGGGCGGACGATGATGCGCTTTCAGGCCGAGTCGGCGGAGGTTGTCAGGCTGGTGTGGGGGCGGTGGATGAGGAGAAGGTGATGAACCTCCAGGTGAATTGTCTCCTCTTTGTTCTCTTCGGTCTTTTGGACGTGTACCCCGCAAAATCAACGGTAAATCAGATCTAAATTATGATGAGGGGCGGAAAATCTAACAATTTAGAATGATGCACACAAAGTCCTTTTTATGCTTTTGAATGTGGCCTGACAATTTAGAATGATTATCATTAATTATGGTCAATCTCTATGCGAGTTTTCTAATTAGTATCAAGTACGCTATTGTAGGTGATTTTTTTAAAGCAAAAACCCTAATGGATGTCGACGGACGCCCACCGTCTCATCTTATGTGAGGCCAGATAATGCGCCGCTAGATGGACCCTGGTGCTCATGGCCATGCTAATCGTAACATAGATTGGACATATATCAAGGAGACGAGTGAAGCATGTGTTGGGATGATTCTACCAGACAATACTGGTGGCATAATCTTCTCGGCGTACAGAAACATATTGCGTTGTGCGAGCTCAGTGCAAGCGGAGTTAGAGCATGTTTGGAGGGGCCAAACTTTGCATTGCTATGGTCTACACTGCCAATTGATGTTGAGATAGACTGTAAAGCTGTGATGCTCTCTATTCAGGCACAGTCCCTCGGATTGATCGTTGAATGCAATGTTGGTAAATGAAGTTAGGAGGCGTCTTGGTGAGAGGGATAGTTCTATTATTGTTCATGTTAGTAGGAACCAAAATGTTGTAAGTCATAGATTAGTTTCTTTTGGTTGTGCTGAAGGGCATATGACACTAGCTATGGATCAGATCGGATCCTGCTAATATACCACAACTTTGTATGAAGGATCTCCCTTGAAGTTGAGCAATGAAACCCCTTTAACCGCATAGAAAAGAAGTGTTTTCTCTAGCTTCTCTTTTTGTGCTCATAATTCCACATACTAATTCTCTTCCTTTAAATTAAGTCTTATAATAAACATTAAAAACACTATTACATATAAACATATTCGATGACGTTTCAAGGGGAACCAGCCGAAACAGAAGACGAAGCCAAAGAAAAGGCTGTCACTACACACTTAAAGTCACAAAAGAAAAACTATTTACAGCACAAGAAAAGGCACGGACCAACAAGCAATGGCAATTCAACATGGCTTGGCAGCAAGTAGCTACTCAGCAGAATGAATTCACAAGGTAAACAATGATTTGAGCAAAACAACATGTCGGGCGTGTCCAAGAATTTGCAAAAGCTTTGTACCACTTTATTACGGGAACTAATTCTATAGGAGGCTATACCAAGATGATTTAATTCACGAAAAAACAGTTGCGATTTTTTATTGCAATACGGTTGTGTCATCGTATACACATCCCACTATGTAGGGTGGTCTAAAATTTCATATATATTGATATGCTTTTCTTTACCAAGTAGAAAAAGATACACATAAAGCTGCAATGCATATTCTGTTTAGCTCATAATTATTTATAATTCTATCGTTTCAACTACGGTCTACATAGTTAGGACTTACCGAATGCCGCGCGGGCTAAGCTAGTATGGATTAGAGGAATTATTAAAAAAAATCTGGATTTCCTTCCGTGGGTCAGTGGTAAGAGTCACTGGGTCGCCGGCTCTGCCCACTCCTACATGGCCGGCGGCCGGCGCCAGACGGTAGTGGGGGCGGAGGACCCAAGGCGGCGGTCAAGCCCGCAGCCCGGTATGGGTGCGGCGGAGGAGGATGGCGGCGCTGGAACTGGTCGGCGTCGCGCGCGAGGGAGTTCGTCCAGCAGGTCGCCGCCAGCCCGCTCGACGGTGTCTTCCGACCTCGTCACCGGCGCCATCGTCCTCGAGGTCACAAGGTCCTCTACGTCCTCCACCCACCATTCCTTTGTTGGCAAGCAGGAGCCTCACTCTCTCGCCGTGTTTCCGGTGAACGCACACACGCACGCAAGCTGCTCGAGCAAATGGACACAAGAGAAAACAGAGGAGGAGCAGAGCAGTACGCATGTTAGTTTTCCAGGCAGCGAACACCCAATGTTTTTTCTCTCAGTTCACAACTAATGCAAACTTTTCTTTCGGTGACAAGTTACATAAACTTTACACGGATGGATGGGGATTCATCAATTACTCACACATATGGATGGATGGGATTGGCTTCGCCATTCGCCCCAAGCCCCCAAGGCTGGAACTTCTTTCTGGTCAAACTTAATTTGGACCTTAGTAGTGGGATTCATCATTCACATCCCAAATATTATACTAGAAGTCAAGCACTCGTAGCTGCACCCAGCTTCACATTGCTGACCAGTGGCTTTGAATTCCAAGCCCCAGCGTCCTTGTTAGTGTGCCACCAGAGCTAACATAAACATCGACACCAGACCTAACTTGTTAGTGACCAATGAAATCCATCAGTTGTTTTTATATAAGAGCACACATCAACATCGGACATATACATTATATAATTCCTAGAATATTTGTCACTATCAGGATTGCTAGTAACCAAAGCATAATGCATATTTTTCTTCATTATTACGAACAAACTGCTCTGATTAATTATATGCAACTTCACTGTCCAGCTGCTTTAATCAAATCCCAAGCCTGCTACATCATATTCCAAAACGGACAAGAGAGAAACTCCATAAGCATGGATACAAGCCTGCAGGCCCTTATTGGTCTGCTCCCTCAACTTCACTCTCCGACTGCTTTAATTAAACAGCAACCAGGGACTTTTATCTTGGCAGGCAACACCAAGAGTTTGATTACATATATATCATGTATGTATACCATGCGGTATCCTACACCAAGAAGAACACATAGTCATGGCAAAAGCAGACATGGACACGCTCCAACTAGCCTGCATCCAGATAGCCATAGCCTTGCTCTTGCTTACTCAAGCCAAGAGCACCACAGAGGACACATCTGCCGTGCGTCCAAATAATACGGTCCCCAGCTGTATTGCCGGTGAGAGGTCTGCCCTTCTCGCCTTCAGGGCAGGTCTATCAGACCCTACCAACCTCCTTCCATCATGGAAGGGTGATGACTGCTGCCGATGGAAGGGCGTCTACTGCAGCAACAGAACCAGCCATGTTGTCAGGCTCGATCTCCGAGGCCCAGGTTACAGAACCGGCAATGAGAGCAGGCAGGTACTAGCAGGCAACATAAGTTCCTCGTTGCTTGGTTTACATCATCTTCGGTATCTCGACCTCAGCTACAATCGGTTTGACAAGATGCAAATACCAGAGTTCATGGGTTCTCTCCATCAGCTAAGATATCTTGACCTATCGTGGTCACAGTTCATTGGAAGGATACCACCGCAGCTGGGTAATCTCTCCAACTTACAGTACCTAAATCTTGACACCATCTCATACGTGAGTGTTGATTCTTCTTTCCATAGAGGCACATATTCCACCGATATCACCTGGTTGTCACGGTTAACTTCCCTTGAGCACCTGGATATGACTGGGGTGAACCTCAGTACAATTGTTCACTGGCTTCGCGTGGTGAACATGCTTCCAACTCTGAAAGTTCTTCGCCTTATCCATTGCCAGCTTAGAATTAGCCCTGATTCTCTAGATATCTCGAGCAATGGTTTCTATGGCCCGTTTCCAGATGCGATAGGTAATATGACCTCCATTGTGGAGCTTGATTTATCAGATAATAACCTTGTGGGCATGATACCATTTAATATGAAGAACCTATGTAATTTGGAGACATTAGATTTTTCTGTGAACAATATCAACGGGAGTATAGCAGAATTATTCCATCGATTACCCAGTTGTTCGCGGAATAATCTACAATGGTTGTCTCTACACCACAACAATCTGACTGGAAGCCTGCCTACTACAGCAGTAGAAAGATTAAGTAACCTGAGCTGGCTGGATCTACACCACAACAAACTCACAGGTCATGTCCCGGTGTGGATAGGAGAGCTCAAACAACTAATGATGTTGGACCTTAGTTATAACAACCTGGACGGGGTCATACATGAAGGTCATTTATCACGTCTAGATATGTTGGAGGAATTGAGATTATCAGACAACTCCATAGCCATCACAGTGAGCCCAACTTGGGTTCCTCCTTTCAGTCTAGGAACAATTGAACTTCGGTCCTGTCAGCTAGGGCCGAAATTCCCAATGTGGCTTAGATGGCAAACACACGTAATGTTTCTTGATATATCAAACACAAGCATAAACGATATAATACCGGATTGGTTTTGGACAGCAGCTTCCTCAGTAATGTCTCTGAATATCCGAAATAATCAGATTACAGGATTCCTACCATCAACAATGGTATTTATGAGAGCAAAAGAAATGGATTTCAGTTCAAACCAGCTTGGTGGTCCAATACCTAAGCTTCCCATCACTCTAACCAACCTGGATCTCAGTCGGAACAATCTAGTTGGGCCACTACCATTAGACTTTGGAGCGCCAGGGCTTGAAAACCTTTTTCTATATAACAACATGATCTCTGGGGCCATTCCATCTTCTTTGTGCAAGTTGCGATCATTGCAGTCATTAGATCTATCAAGAAATAACCTCAATGGACCAATTACTGATTGCCCAGTCAATGAGTCCAGCACAAACATGACAGATCTTAGCATTGTTAATCTAAGCTTCGGAAACAACAACCTCTCTGGTGAATTTCCTTCACTTCTCCAGAAATGTCCACGACTCATCTTTCTTGATCTCGGACATAATCAATTCTCCGGGGCTTTACCAGCATGGATTGGGGAGAAGCTATCATCTTTGTCATTCTTACGACTGAGATCCAATATGTTTCATGGTCAAATTCCAGTCGAGCTTACAAAGCTTGTTAATCTTCAATATTTGGACCTTGCATACAACAATATATCAGGGTGCATACCAAGATCTATTGTTAACTGCACAGGCATGATACAAAAAGGTGACAATTCTGATGAACTTTTGTATGGATTCACTAGTGGAACAAGGCTTTTTCCTGAGAATGAACTAGTTGACAATGCGGACAGTGTCACTGTACTTACAAAAGGTCAAGAGAGACTATATACAGGAGGAATCATAGATATGGTGAATCTTGATTTATCTTGTAATAGTCTTACAGGAGAGATTCCTGAAGAAATCAGCACTCTTATGGAATTGAAGAACCTGAACTTATCATGGAACAACTTCAATGGAAAAATCCCTGAGAATGTTGGTGCCTTAATGCAAGTGGAGTCACTCGACCTATCGCACAACGATTTGTCTGGTGAAATCCCTTCAAGCTTATCGGCTCTCACATCACTGAGTTGCCTGAACCTGTCCTACAACAATCTGAGAGGAAGGATACCAACTGGAAATCAACTGCAAACACTCGAAGACCCAACATATATTTATATTGGCAACCCCGGCCTCTGCGGTCCTCTCTCTGTAAATTGTTCGTCACAGCCAGAGCCAATTCCAGGAGAAAACCACGGAGATGCAAGCGGCGACTTGGTTTCGTTTTTCCTCGCCATGGGCTCTGGATATGTGATGGGTCTCTGGGTGGTATTCTGTACCTTCTTGTTCAAGAGGAGATGGAGAGTTTCATGGTACTCGCTCTGTGACAGCCTGTATGATTGGGTTTATGTACAAGTGGCTGTTACCTGGACTTCCTTCAGAGCTAAAATTAATGGGTAGAAGCTGAGATGAGATGACTGTCACTGGTTCTCGGTTTGCTCTCATGTAATTCAGTATATGCTTTTGAGATTTATCATGAATGTATAAATCAATGTTCAGGTTTATTGTACTAGAACTATTCAGGATATGTATTCGAGGTACATGCCATGGACTGAGATTGGTGGTCCTTGGTTTGCTCTAGATATGTAATATGATATAATCTGGAGATTTATTATGAATGTGTCAATTAATATTCCAGTGATATTGTACTGGAACAAGTCATGCACATGTATGCATTCTAGGTGCACTGCGTATTGGAACTAGTCATGCACATGTATGAATTCTAGGTGCATGCCATCAACTGAGGTTTTTTAATTTTTATATATGATGTGTTTTCTATGTGCTTTCTGTTGTTGGTGCTTTTCTTTTTATAATAATTCCATGGTAAATGCTGATACCTCGGGCAAAACTCAAATGGCAAAGATAAGGAGGTCGAAACCGGTGATGGCAAGAATGAAGCTGATTCTGATTTTGTTTTGGCCTGGCTAGAGCAATAGTTGAGAAGAACCCAGACCGTACTATGGAGAGAAAATTGAAGTCCTTTTTTGCTATGGAAATAGAGGTCTCTATGGAAAGAGGAGATCTCTGTTTTTGCATATAACCGTTGGATGTTTTTTATAGTCATGCCCCCATATCCGATTTATAGATGACATAGACTGCTCACTTGACCACTACTTCAAACCTTCAGCTCTCTTGGACTGTTTGGTTCAGTCTGACCATTGTCAAACTGTCCAACTGTGTCAGTTGTCTGCCTCTGCTTTATAGTACTCCCTCCGTCCCAAAATTCTTGCCTTAGATTTGTCTACATACGGATGTATCTATTCACATTTTAGTGTTAGATACATCCGTATCTAGATAAATCTAAGACAAGAATTTTAAGACGGAGGGAGTAGTATAATAAAGCAACGTATTTGCAACCCAAGTGCTGTTATGTATCCTTATCTTAGCACATGTTCCTTCTCTTGCATAAGTGCACATGTTATTGCATATGTGCAGGGAAAATATGAGTTCAGATAATGCTTGTATCTTGTAGAAATTTGCTTTGTTAACCTCTTTAATTCAGTCCTAGAAAATAGTTTCTTTAGTTCAGTCGTAGAAACTTCTGCACATTGTGCAGAGTTAGGGTCCACACTTGGAGGTGCGGTCCAATATTGTGCTGCTGCTACCTTACTATGCTGGTTGACAATGATGCAGAACCTGAAAGATGCTCTGGAAGTTTTGTTGGTTTATAATGATGCATCTGCTTCTGATACAAGGGGGTTATGCTTGGGGTGGAACTATGGTCAATGCTGGCTCGGTGAGAACGGCTCTGCTTTTGCTCCTGCTCTTCCCGAACAACACTCCATATATTAATAGTTTCCACTTTCCGGTGTTGAAATTTTAGACCCCGATGCTTGAGGAAAGCAAGGAAAGATAATCAGCTCGGCATGAAGTTTGACAAAATGCAGCAAAACGGGTGAAAGAAAAAAGCAAATGTATACAGATTTGGCTCAATGAAAAAATAAATGGAATTTTCAAATTTGAAAACGAAAAAAGAAATTATCAGAGCCAAGTTTCGATCTTGGGACCTGTGGGTTATGGGCCCACCACGCTTCCGCTGCGCCACTCTGATTGCTATTGTTATGGTTCTCAAACTGAGCTTTGTATAGCTTATTTGGCCTGTTCCTTAAGGAATAAAAGGCGGCCTGGCACGGCCCGAGCCCGACGGCGGCCCGGCCTTCTACTACAGGGCCGCGGCCCAATCCAGCCCAAGCCCCAGTCTGGACCAAGAGTTTCGCGGCTTTCTGCCCTTGCAATCAATCAATCGCCTTATCCTCCTCCTCGCCGCAAAACCAACCAGTCACGCACGCACGCACGCGAAATCCGCCGCCGGCGGCGCCCCAAATGCGCGCCCCTCCCCTGCTCGCGCCGTCCACGCCGCATCCGGCACGTCCTCCTCCTCACCGTCCATCGCGCACGGGGCCCGGTCGCACCCTGTTCTTCTCGCCGAGAAGGCGGCTGCTTCTCGCCGTCGCGCGGTCCAAGAGCAGGGACGACGCCAGCTTCACCGATCGCATCCTCGACTACATCGAGGGTAATGTCCAAAATCTCTCTCGTTACCGCGCGTTCCTTCCTGCATCTCCGGATTTATGTCAGCTGTAGAGGCAATGTTCAGCGTTCTTGTGCGAATGCAAATGTTGGGGCTCGGTAAATATTGGTCGCCTGAATAGTGGGTACATGTTATTTCTTTTAACAAGGAAAAATCAAGAAGAGGAGAGTTACCAGGTTGATTAGAGTAAAACCGGGTGAAAACCGTCACAGCCCAGGGAATCAGGCACACTAAAGCTACAGCACAACACTGCTGCCAAGAATATACATCGATCGGTGAGGTTGCACAATTGGTGTCATCATCATCACTTCTCTGGTTCTCCACGAGGAAGCATCCGCAACTTCTCTGCAAACGTCCGTTGACAAAGCCCGCACCGCAGAGGGCGTGAGAAGCACCATGAAGGTACATGCCAAGCCATCAGCCACACGCATCGCCGACGGTGCATCCCCAATTCTGATAGTGAGATACGAAGGAGAAATGTGCAAGGCGAGAAATGTGCAAGGCTGGGACCGCAAAAGATCGCCGAATGCACCACCTATCACCTGTCATCATCACCAACTGAGCTCCAACGGCGCAGCTTCAGCTGCACATCAATGAACAAACTGAGATAATCCAGCAGACATGTCGAAGGGCCGACTACCGCAACCATTGCCGGTATCTCGACATCGCTCACCACCGTCATCGTTGCTACACCCGCCATGACGACCATCACCATCCTCACACCATCCATTGGCTCCTCCAAACGATGACAATTGCAAGAACGACACCCCCAAGGGGAGCATGATGCAAAAACACCACCATCGTTCCACTCCAGGGAAATCTGAGGTTTCCGCCTCGTGGTTGTCTGGTTGGAAGGGTGAGCAACACCATGCCTTGGTGATATCTTCAAGAAAAAGTGGCGCTCAAGGGCGTTGCCTCTCCCCCTCAGGGTTGTTTGGGAGGAAGGACACACAACACATCTTTTTTCTAGAACGTAGGCTTGTGAAGAGCCTGGCTTTGAATTAACATAGCCATCAACCGGCCAGGAATTACAAACATGATTCAAACAACAATGGCCACACTGGTACAACTGGGGGCACTGGAAAGCAAACATCAATTACAGCCTCCACAAGCAACTAAGGAAAGGAAAATGAAGATTACAACTTGCACAGGCTAAGCACTCCACACTAAGATCAGAGAAATCAAGGTCGGAGCAGTAGGGCAGGACATGGCCGACCATTGAAGGTGGATAGGTCACCAGGTAGCACCTAGGGTAAGAGGGGACACACCATCTTCCTTCTCTGTCACCAAGGGGAACCCTACACCCTCGCCTTGGATCGAAAGACGCCAAACCGTCGGGATTCGGGCTAGAAGAATGCTGCCCTCACATCGCAAGGTGGACAACGGGCATCCACCTAGATTCGGGCTAAACCTAGCCAGCAGCACCGCGCTGTCCACGCCCAACTAGTTGGAGAAGGAGAGCTTCCGGAATCCAAACGCCGAAGACGAGGCAGCAGGACACCGAGCAAAGACCAAGAGAGGCAAGGGGGATAGAGCATCGACGACACTGGTAACCAGGCACCTCCGACTTCCGTCACACCACTACCGCTAGGAAGGAGATCCCTATCCCCTTTCGTCAGGATTGAAGACGTTGTGCCGCCGGGACTGAGTGACGTCCACCGCCACCGGAGAGCACCAACCTCCATATCCTTGACGATGCCTTCAAGAAGAAAGCGGTTCCTAAGTACGTCGCCATTGCCTACCCTGACCATTAGCCAAAGGCGGAGCTTTCACCCGATGTTGCCTTGCTCTCCACCCTCCTGAACCTCAAGACTAGCTGGACCACTAAACTCCCTTCCCGTACCGTTTGCAGCTAGCTGATATGCCTAGCTCAGGCCCATCGGCCTGATGGGGCCCGCATAATCTACAACTAGAAAAGGATTTCCTAGATCCAGGCTCATCGGAGTCTGCTGCTCTGCTTCCTCGACGCTCATGACCAGCCGTAGCCAAGCCAGTAGGATGTCGTGTGCCACCACAAGGGAGTTTTCTCACCGCAAAGAGCTTCAACATCGTCGATGAAAACAAGGCCTCAGTGAGGAAGCCACTGCACGCATCCACTCCAGGCCTGTGTGGCTAGAACCATGCCGATGTAGAGCAGCCCCGCCAGCGTCGATGCTGCACGCATTTTGCCCGGCGACGCCTGCTGTGGGCGACGAGGTAGAGATGGGAGGTGATAGGGGGACGAGAACGTGGGTTTGGGCTCCCTAGTGCTGCTTGAAGAGTAGTCTTTCACTTGTACACGCAGTGGTTACATGTTTGGATTGTGTTTTAGAGGCACGGATGATGCAATGATCACTAAGAATCAACTTTTTATACTTGATATGTAATGGGCTGTTGGGAATATGTTTGTACTCTACCCCTATTTTTTTGCAATTTTCCGTGGTGCCGCTCCCAATTGCATACCTGAGGCTAAGGGGTAGAGACATTCGTATATTGCATTTCAAAAGAGTCGTCTCTTATATAGAGAAGATTCTGAAATTTAAACCAGTTTCGAATTAGAGTCCAGATTAAACTACCAATCACATTATAGTTCATATGTGAAAGGATTCTATATTTGTAGACACACCTGTGAGCAATCATCATGATCATGTCCAAATTCCACTAATCATGCTTGTCGGTATTAGGTCTGTAACCTAATCCATGATCTATTTCCTCCCAACTATTAATGTACCTGGGCAGTCTTCCAATAGCATGCAAAGTATATTGTATTTCATTCATAATCGACCAGTTACCTTAAGCATATAGAATTCTTAACTAGATTCCATCAAATGATAATCCCATGCTGAGTAAGTAAATCAATTTCATGCAAAAATACATGTATTATTCTATAATG